AGTGCACCCAGAGAAAAGTCTCAGAAGGCTATCCAGGATGAAATCCGTTCAGTGATCAGACAGATCACAGCTACAGTGACATTTCTGCCACTATTGGAAGTTTCTTGTAAGCATTGCACATCTTCTTGTTGACTTAAATTTATTGGGGAAAAGATTAAGCTACTGCTTTATGGAGTACCCCTTTATTAAATTTCTTCTTAATTATCAGTATCTTGTAATATAAATGGGAAAAGCATAATAAAGCAAAAGTAATGTATAGGAATACTCCCCTTATCCACAGAGAGACCCTCAGTGAATACCTGAAGGCATGGAGTGTACTGAATCCTGTACTAATTTTTTTTCCATATACAGATACACTCATACACACACACATATATATACACACACACACCTGTGGTAAAGTTTAATTTGTAAATTATATACAATAAGAGTTAGCAACAATAATAATAATAAAATGGAACAATTTTAAAAATATGCTAGCACCACTGCTATTGTGCTTTGGGGCCATTTTAAGTAAAATAAGGATTACTTGAAAACATTTGCTATGTAACTGCAACATTTGAGCCTACAAACAGAATGGGTACTAAGTGAGTGATACACAGTATATACAGTATGGATATGCTGGAAAAGGGATGACTCATGTCCCTGGTGGAATGGCATGAAGTTTCATCATGTTACTCAGAAGGATGCGCAATTTAAGATTTGTGAATTGTTTATTTCTAGAATTTTCTATTTAATATTTTCAGACCATAGTTGACTTGACTACAGGTAATTGAAACTGTGGAAAGTGAAACCATGAATGAAAGAGGATAACTTGTATATGCTGTCTAGAAAATTTGCAAATGCTGAAAAAAAAGGAAAAATACTTCACAATACCCACTCCTGCAGTTTTTGATGTAATTTCTTTCACTGTTTTTATGTTCTACACCTATTTATGTATGTAATTAAGACTATGGCTATAATTGTGTCTTTTCGATCTTATTCCTTTGTCATAATTATTTGCCTCATATTTTATTATACGATTATATACTCACTGCAATTATTTTTAATGAGTTTGTCATTAAAGAAAAGAAACTTGAATTTTTCATAAGATAAAGTTGAAGGGTACATGGGTGGCACCTGTGGCTCAGTGAGTAGGGCACTGGCCTCATATATAGAGGGTGGTGGGTTTAAACCCAGCCCTGGCCAAACTGCAGCAACCAGAAAAAATAGCCGGGCATTGTGGCAGG